AAGCTATGGCCAGTGTGGCTGCAAGCAATGTCTTCAAAAATACATTAAGCCTTTATTGTTTGTCTTTCTTGTAAATTAGTAATGAGTAAATTAATGATTAAGTGTAATGATTCTGCAACACGATTTATTTATAATACAAAAAAAAACAACACCTGCTATTTAAATTATATTTGACCTTGTGTTATTTATAGTCTGAAGTTGACACCAAATGATGTCTATTTCACATAGCCAGCTTTTGGCACCTATCATACATAATATCAGGCAAACGACAATCAGAAGTGATACTGACTGCATTGTGAATTGGAATTATCGGAATTTGCGTCGACTGAAATCGTTACACATATTTTGCGGGGTTAATGAAATGGCTGGATATACAAAACGCTAATGTGTTGCAGTGCTATTGTCATTTGGGGAAATGTAAGTTTTACATTTTATTGTAAATATCATAGATACAGGCTTGTTTACTCGTTATTTTATTAGTAAGTTTCAATAAATTTGAAGTTTTTGAGCTTTTCTATCTTTGTGGTATCGATTTTACTTCTATTTAATTAAAATTGTTTTAGTTAATTGACAACTTAAAAATATATCCATTCTTTAGATATCTGTATACGCCCGTTTGAAAAAGCAGGTCGTATAAAAGGAACGCACCTGGCGGGAGGGCGGCGTCCAATTTTATCCGGAGCTTATATCCTACACACATGGAGGAATTTTTATTGAAACTTCATAGAAAGGTTCACCACTATGAGAAACGGTGTCGCCCGCATGAACCAGATCGATATTTCAAAGGTCCATGTCACACTTAGAGGTCATAAAAAAGCTTGTGTAAGAGGGTGAGAAAAATGTGCAACCTGACCGGGACTCGAACCCGGGACCCTCGGAATACCGTACCGCGGCTCTACCGAGTGAGCTCTCTGCCGCTTGTACACACCTTCCCCCTAATTAGTGAAAAGTTCTAAACCGTGACATACTCCCCTGCTTTATTGAAATTCGTCCTTGAATTTCACAGAGTTACAGAGCAATGTGAATTAAACTCTGAGCTATATTCAGTCATGGCCCAACGTTGGGAGCCAAATGTCACAGGGTGAGAAAAATGTGCAGCCTGACAGAACTCGAACCCGGGACCCTCGGAATACCGTACCGCGGCTCTACTGACTGAGCTATCCGGCCGGTTACACACTCCCCTAAATAGTCAGTTCTGAACCGCGACATACTCCCCCGCTAGATTGAAATTCGTCCTTGAATTTCTAACAGGTACAGAGAATAATATGAAAATGGACTCGGAGCTTATACCATTACGGTTCTCCCGTTGGGCGCCAAATGTCACAGGGTGAGAAACATCTGCAGCCTGACCGGTACTCGATCCCGGGACCCTCTCCGTTGTAATGCGGAATGTCGCGTGCAAAGTTCAGGTCTAGGCTGCCAAGGTCAAGGTCACACATAGGGGTCAAAGTTCAGATAAGAATATGAAAATGTGTATTTAGACCATAAATTTACCATTTATTCACCATTGATTGAGGATTGAAACACAAATGGTCATTATCATGAATGCAGGTGTAAAACATGTAATTTATACGGTGTTCTTATTGTGCTATTTATTATGTCGCTCGACAATACGAAGCGACACTCGACAACGCGAAGCGACATTTTTTTTAAATGTCTCCCTTTTTTACTTAATATTACTAAACGACATCGCAATATTTCGTTTGACAATGTCGAGCGTCGCTTCGCGTTATCGAGCGTCGTATCGCATTTTCGCTATGTCACTTCGCCTTGTCGTGCGTCAACCATTAAACGCAATGAGCGACATAATAAATGGCACGATGAGGACACCGTAATCGTAGGTTAATATATGCAAGATAAAGTTCACTTTTGATAGTAAAATATAGATATTTTGATCAGAACTTATCTTCAAAACGCAAGGAGGGATTCTAATGAAACTTTATATAAATGTTCATCACTATAAGAACGAGTAGCATGTGCATAAACCAGGTCAAAGGTCAAGGTCTCATTTAGAGCTTATTGAAAAATGCTTGTCCGGAGCAAAACTTCTTCATGCATAAAGAGATTTCGAAATAACACTATTGAAAAAAAAATAATAAGACAGAAAAAAAACTGATCACTTTATTAAAGTAAGTATACGTTTTCAGTAAAATAAATAAACATAATGGACCATGCCATTATTGCCGTATTTCCACCGTAAGGATATATCTGCGGATATTACTAAACCTAAAATTTCACCAACTGTTTTAATGTTCAAAACTGTATACACTGTCTCTCATAATGCTCGTCCAATAAACCTTGACACATTAGAAAATATATTTTCCTTTTTTTATAACTTTCAAAGTATTGCATAGTGGTTAATAATTATAAAGGATAGTGAAATATGGGGATGGTGATGTCTTTATTAAAGAAATTTCAAAACATATGAACAAACATCAAATATCATTTAATCTGTACAATTAATTGTGGATCAGATGTTCATCGATTCAGTACGCATTGTTTATTGTTTAATTTCATGTATCATTGTGCCACAACTTTGCCGCGATATGTCAAAAAAAAAAAAAATCATACATCTGACCGAAGCTAAATTAATAAACCCGCCATAACTATATTGTCCAGAAAGTCAGAAGTATGATGTTTTGATGTTGCGCGGAAACACCCTAAAAAACGTGAGCGATATTGATGCGCAGGAGAGTATGTGCGGAAAAAAAAGAATATGAAGGTTTGTACTTAGTTGCGCATCAAGTTATTTTACATAATAAATAGCGAAAACATAAATCTATATTGTTGTCCTCTATGTTAAATAGTTACCTATTTTTTGTTTTGTGAAAGCATCACAGTGACCTATTTCTTTTATATGTTTACATTTGATTTGCTCATGTTTTTGTATATTATACAAACTGAGTGTTATTGTAAATAAATTGAAATTAAAATAACTTAATTACAAGTACAATGTTGCCACCCCTATTATATGAACGTAGATTCGCCCATTTCGATATTGCACGGTTCCGATAAAGTCGTGGAAAGCGTGTCACTTCATGCAGATTTTCATGCTGAAATTACAATTAAAAATGGATGACGCATATCTTTTTGGTTGGCTGATAGGGCAAAGGGTTCGGTAAGAAATGACCCCCCAGTGACTTAATTGCGTTGCATATTTAAGCAATGGGAACACATATGGAAACTTGGAACTTAATAGATATTAAATGTAAGTTAGTTTATCGGCTTGTTTTGTCAATAATTACATATAGTATATGGTTTGATAACCGATAATTTGTTGTTTGAAAAATTGTTAAAATTTGACACACTGTCTGCAAATAACACTCAATCAATACGAGCCAACATCATTTTCAATTTTGGGCTTCAGATTTTCATTATTTTACCGTCGACAATACTGTTTTATCACAGGAACCATATATTCTATTTATAACTAATTGTGGTCGCATACTAAATGACCAGAGCGATGTGTATAAACATATAGTCAAACAACACAGGTACGTATGACAATTTGCATCATTGTAAAATACCGTTTATTTAATGTGACTCCTTAGAAGTGCAAGCTATATAACATTCTGTATTATTTCAGGATCGTAATAGGCATTCAGGCTTTAATTTATTTTTTTTTATTTTTTTGTGGAGGTGGGGGGGGGGGGGTAGATGGAGTTTTTAAATATATTTACCGTGTGGAAGCAACTTTGGTCACGTGACCACAAAAATCAACGTACACGGCCAAAATGGGCCAAGGTAAGTGTTTTTTGTGTTTATTTTTCTATCGAGCCGATTTAAATTATACTACATAGCCTACCGACCGCGGCATTTCCGATGCTTTCTAAATATGCATTTGGTGTTGTCTTTGTATTTTCTGAGAACATTCAAACAATACTTACAAATTGTCGATGAGAACGTACACACTATTGTGTTAAAGTGTTGATAATAACTTAATACACGATATGCATGTCAGTTTTGAAATGTACTAGTCAATTGGTTGTGTCTAAAACGTTAACTTAGCGATAACGGAATACTGATTGTCTGATTTGTATATTATGTCTCTTTTCACAGTTTAAAACAGTTCGATCCTAAATGACGTTTCTAATGCACATTCTTACTATTTATTGCGACTTGTCATCAAAACACAGAGAAGCATCTTAAACTATTTTACTATAATAACTGTTCAAATGTAAACATATGCAGATATAACCGGATTTGATTGTTATTAGGTAACTGCTGTACGTTTTAAATCCAAAATGTTATTTATTTAGACGAAATAATGTGACAAAATGAATAAAACATGTTATTTTGTATTTCATCATTTATTTTCAGCAATATACGTACATATGATCATGAAGATACAAGATAAACCTACAGGCATCCGTGGTAAGTCATTTATTTTTTACCTGGTACATATGATTCTTAAGCATTGAGAAAACCGGACCGCTGAGAAAACCGGACAAAACCCTAAGTCCGAATCCGTCCGCTTTTCTCAACTTTCACTGTATAAGATAATGTTTGAATGAAAAGAACGGGTTTCCTGCTGTTGTGTTTTCGTTTTCATTTATAAATAGTCCAACTTAAAGTAATGTCCACGTTCCCATACAGCAAAAACAATGTCAACGTACACATTCACAATTTAGTTTGATAGTGGTCTGCACATGAGGCTGCAACTTCGAAGTAGGTGGATTTTTCCAACAGAAAGTTGGCTTTCTATTTAGATTGCCCCCTCAAACTGTAAATCAGTACTCTTTTATAAAAAGGAAACAGTTTCGAGTGCATTTATTTCATCGAAAATAAGCTTTAATAAGCTTTAACGTTTAAATTTCTTTTATTTGAGTCAGGCGGTGCACGTTAATGTTTATAACAGTATCTTGTACTGATACGACTAAAACATAAGCAAGACTATCTCAGAAAGCTAAAAAAAGCCACGCCTTGGTCAAGGACTTCAAAAGGAGAAAGGGAAGCGAGGAAATAGAGGAGCGAGAAATAATGTTTGACATAATTTTCAAAGATATTCTCTTGTGTTTGAGCCTTCTTAAACGTGTATTGCACTAGTAAGTAAAGACGTGAAACCTTTGAAATTTCCTTTCATTTAATTGACTACAGTTGTGATGCATTACAAAAAAGCATATTTGTTTTCGGAATGAATAAGTTATTTCATAATCGGGATAAATGTTATTGGCTAAGACATATTTGAAGCTATGATACATGATTTGTTGAATTATTTCTATTATTTAAACTATAACTTTGATCCATTTATCCTTCATTTTCACTGTGATAAATGTAGTACAATTAAAAACAATACGTTTTTCCTCAACCCTGTTAAAAGGTTCCAATGTGGCAATAGAATTTAGTTAGTTGGCGTAACATACATGTATATCTGTTTTATGCCTTATTCCAAGTACTAAAAAGGCGCGGTGCCCTTTTGCTTGCATACCGATGGTTGATTGTGTTGATATTGTTTTCCCATGCATCTCGTTATGTTTTTACTTTACTTTTGTAAAAGGGCGCGTGTCTTTGTGTGTATGTCTTTTAAATCTTTTCAACGTTTTTTTTTTGTTTTTTTTTTAGTTAAACAAATTCATTGATAGTAATAATTCAGTTTGATTAATAATCGTTGACATAATATTTGTTTAAACATGTTACATTACAAATTCAACTAGCGTTGTTTTTGCTTGTTTTTCTTTTCCAATCGCTAAACCATCCGATAGTTTCAATAAGTAGTGGCTAATGAAAAACTTCCGATTGTGTACACACAGTTGTAAGTTATTATGTTAGAGCTAAGTGTTCGAATTTAAGCAGGAATAAAGCCCTGAAATTGATTGTGATAAAAATCAATTCGACTAAGTGTTTTTCAACGTATATAGGTATCAGATTTAGGCGTAAGTTCCGTACAAAACACACCTGGTTCACAATTTATCTAGGATGGTGCCGAACAGGACAGTTGCTTTGACTTTGCAGCTTATAGTGATCGCAAGTATGTAAAATTTATTATGTTTGTATTTATTTATTTCATGATGGTTTAATGATATACTTTGCTCAACTTTGGGTCAAATTCAATACTTTTATAGGTTATATATAAAGTTGATGATATTCTTTTTCAAGTTTACTCAGTGCATGTATGTGCAAAAACCAATGCGCTTATTTTTATAGTCCATCATGTTTTTTCAAGTATGATTTCTTCTTTTTCTTTTAGCTTATGATTTTTTTATAATTCCAATGCGCTTATCATTATTTTATCTTCTTTTTTCTATTCCTGAAATTTATGAATACCAAAGCGGTAATTATTATAATTATCAACATTTCACATGCTTGAAAATGCGCATGTTTTGATATCATCTTATCTTATATTTAAAGCAAAACTTTTTTTCAACTATTATTATTAATAAATCACGTCGCTTCATCTTTTAATATTTTTTGTAAACCTAGCTGATGAACATAATGCATTTAAATGTTTTTGTTTCTATAAGTTCTTTTTCGGGCATACAGTGGATAAAATATATTATACCTTACCTTTGTATCTTAATCCGTTGAATAAACTTTTTTTTTCTCAAGCTTTTACGATATTTTTATCCAGTGATCTAATGTATCTTAAGAAATCAGCTAAACATTGTTATTTTTTCAAGTCTATAAATGTATTTTGACCAATGATTATAAGTATTTCATTTTGTTGTCAATCAAGCCATTGTTCGTCATGATTCTGGTGAAATCATTACTAAAGACTTTACTAAAACGGCCATGTCCGGCTCGGTCATTGACTTGTCTGGCTACAACCAATTACAAGCTGTAACGAGGAAGTTAGATTGTGCCAAGCAATGCAGCGAAGATGACACATGCTCAAACTTTTACTACACGTCATCAGAGCACATTTGTTACCTGAGTGGCTCGTCTACGTCGCATGTGTATAGAATTCAAACTGCAAGTTTTGCATTCTATAAGTTAAATGATGGTAATATTATTATTTCAATTATGTTTGGTTGTTTTGAGAATCTTTACCAAAATTGATGACTTTTTGTGAGTTTCAACAAAAATCGTAAAAAAACAGAACACTTTTTGGGGTTTTTTTTATGGGTTTAATAACCTAAGACTTTTTTTGTGAAATTGTATTTTTAAAACTTTTTTTTATAATATAATTAATCCCATGCCCAATAACCTTTTATTTGATTTAAATGAAATTTTTTCCGTACTATTTTATTTCGAAAATATATAAAGGAGTCGGTTTTTTTTAAAATGTTGTTGAAAAATTTCAATATTTAATCCTTAAACTTATCTTGACAATAATTTTTAGACAATATTTATTAATAGCTAATCCAACTGAACTCGACAGCGCAACATTTGTATACATGATACATATTCTAAGGAATAGATACAACTATTGAATATGTTTTAAGTCAATACAACTTTAGTTAGACCAACGAAATCCAAATATTTCATATATTATTATCACAATGCATGCCATAAAGGTTTAATGTGTTTTCTCATTGTACATTATAGGTGCGCTTGGTTGTCCAGTCAATGGAGGTGGATGGTTTGTGCTAGAAAAGGACTCTAATATTATGTTCAGGTAAATATGCAATTTATCCAAAAGTATATTTTATTGATATTGATATCTAAATATGAATTCCGTTTAAAATGCATATAGCAATGACTATTTGGTGGAAGTATCTTATAATGTCAATTTGTCAATGTGTAGATGTCTGAAGAATTATTATATATACGGTATTAAAATCTTATCACGTATGATAATGGTAAAAGGAGCTCTGAATCGATGTTATCCTTGTATTGTAAAATGTAACCTTAAATCTCATAAAATGTTAAATTTGATTATTTGCTAGTCTGTTTACCACAACCGCTAATTTTAAAAGGGGATCTTTTTCCCCTTGACAACCCCTTTTTACAAATCCAAACTATGACAAGATGATTTTTTTCACCAGGTAATTTTAATACCATGGAATTTTTTTAAACTTAACAAAATGGTTTAAGAAATAAAATAAAAAATGTAAATATGGTTAATGATTGCCTTATTTAAAACCATATTCCCCCATTTATTTTTTAAGACTTCATAAATTAAATATAGAAAAATGGCGAGGGACATCATGGTAAAAGTCGGGTTGAAAATTCAAAATTATATCTAAACGTCTTTAAACATTTCTTTTCATGATGAAATATCGATCAGTTAAATGTGTCAATAAGGAACACACATCTAATCCAAACCACATTTTTATAGATGTCTACGGTCACCATTTTTGGGTTGATGCAACAAACGCGCTAGCACCAGACCCATCTTCATGGGATGCATTTCGAACAAGTGACAATAAGATATTTCCAATAACTGGTGGACCATTTTGGGAAGACCAAACTGGACCCAACGATGGCACCTACCAACCGCTTTGCGTGTGGATTCCCTCATTCTTCAACTACAAATTTGATGATATACCTTGCGTTTATCCAAACGTAAAACATATATGTGAAAAGCTCAAAACGTAGCAAAAATGGCTATTTTTCAATTGACAAAAGAGGTGGGAAGCATAAATACCTAATATCAAATATATACTGGAAAGAAAAAAAAATAAATATTTAAGATTGCTGAAGTAAAACATATCATTATTAGTATTATTTATTATACTTGCATTTCCCTATTTGATCGAGTCACGTGTACGCCGTATCGAATATGTGACGTCATGATCAAGTAACAAATTAAAGGACAGTTGCCTTAAATTCTTTGTTTTCAACAAGGTAAAAACTGCAATAAAAAGGGATCTGTATTTTGTAACATCTGCGATAAAAGACGAAGGTAAAAACTGTTATTCCATGCCTTAGGTTTTCTCAGACATGATGGACGTTAAAACACAGCGTACAAGATACTCATAAAAATACTTTTAGAAAGTGAAAGAAAACATATACATATATATTTTAAATACTTTTGTCCATAAACTAATATAAACCTTTCGGTGAAAATATTTTTATCAGGCCTAGTTTCCAAGGCCCGCCTGTCTTGTTGTGGCTAAAATATAGACGAAAATATAATAGTAATATAGTATCGATTGATTTATTAAATAAAATAACCTGATACTGATGTTTTTGTTTTTTTAACTATTTATAAGTCTGCCATTGCAGTGAACATTGTTTGTTCATTTTTAAGATACAATTCCGTATTAAACTAAAGCATGTTTAAGTTTTGCGGAAATAACATTAACCAAGGGAAACTGAATACAACCATTGATACTGGTATGATCATGACAAACTTCGTTATTACAATGTCTTTATTTGACGGAGTTCGAAAGATTTTGTAGTATAATTCGAAAGTTCAAGGCTCAGCAAGTTTTAATCACAAATGCACATATGCACATATTTTCTCTTCACAATCTTTTGATATGTGTAGGAATGCATTATTTAACATTATCCACTGACAAATTACACGTTTGTAGAAAGAAATTTTCACACTGTAACTTATCCAGTAAAGTTGTCTGCTAGACCTGTTCAATTTGAATCGGTGTAGAAACAGATAAAGAAACACACATGGTACATTAGTGTATTTCCAGTAAAGAATTAATGGCTAAAATATATAATTCATACATTTATTGTAGTAAATGAAATGGAAATGGGTCAGTATTTTAATGAAAAATTTTTTCCCTCAGCTTTAGAAAATTTTTTAACAGCTTTTTCACACGGCCAGAATATCCAACAACATTTCGATATCAAATTTAACAATTGTTTACGTTCATTCGGTTTTTAACAAGTTACAAACAATGTTTTATTTCCCTTTTTTCTTCAGCATTTTTGTTTTTATATTTAGTTGATTTTTTTAAAAAAAACATTTTCGCACGATTCAAATCCACCCAAAAGCCGAAAGACGTTCAAAAGGGACCAAATATTTTTCCCAATTTAGCAATTTTATGACGCAAGATTTCACAAACTAGGCAAGGTACTTTTTCAGGATCATTTAGCACTGAAAAGTAAAAGTAGAGAAATTTCGGACAGACAGTAGTTTCTAATTAATATACATGTACAGACACATTTTACTAATAATGTTGCACTTATATCATTTCGCAAGAATATCAAAGAGACATATCAATACGGAATACGTTTACTTACTTATATAATCGTTCACAAATATATTGTTTTGTACGGTAAATGCTTTGTATGTTTGTGCTTATCATATGACGTTAGGTGTCAAGCACTTTATAAAGATCGATAGCTTTTAAAGTGACGGTATATTTATACACTAAGTAAACATTTATATTGGTTACTATTAAAACTTTTAAACAGACAAACAAATTTGCTTAAAAACTAAATGAAAACGGATAACGAAATATTGAATATGGACCATATTTTCAACAATCACCATGTCAATGATTATTTTATCGAAAACTGCATTGGCGATTTATTCTTTTTGTATAATAACAGTCTAATGATTTTCGTTAAAGCGCCATTTACTGGAGCCAACCGTTAAAACACTATTTGTGTAATTTCGTTGCGGATCAGCCGTTGTGTTAGTTTGTAGGTTCTCCTTTACGGCATTATAAAGTTCAAAACGCATACTTTAGGAAAATAGCTGCGAGAGGCCCGCTTGGCATGGTCGTTTTTGTTGATCGGCGATTTGTTTTTTTTTTTGTATATCAAGTCAAGGTAATTTCTTAAAAGCGCGATTTTCTGTAGGCAACCGTTTCATAATTTAATTATGTATCACGGTAAGTATGTGTTCATTTTGTGCTAAGTGTTTGCTGAATGGCAACCTTTATATCACATATGTGGACAGTGTAAAACACTCATAAAATTACTATATTATTTCTTAGCAGATTGAACGTTAGATCTTTGTAATGGCTTTGCTTGTATTTTGGAAATTAATACAAACTCATGAATTGCATGCGTTTTATCGCCGGTCAAATGATATTTAAACATATCATCATAATTATGTAAATGAAAACCAGTAATCGAATTTGTTCAGTAGAAAGCTCCCGATGTAGTGATGTACTCCAATATTTGATCTCGCATGATCTCGCAGTAGTAAGTAAAAAGGACCAGTCGGTTAATAAAGTACATTATTTATAATATGTTGTCTGCTATTGAAGCACACATAAATGGGACATCTGTCACTTTTTTAATTGTGTGCTAATTTAAAGTTGTAAATTCAATATCATAAACGACACACGGTTTTCTACTGTAACCGAATCAACAGGAAGCAGGAAACAATCTGAACAACATCTATTTGCTTCGAACAATATGCTACCATTTACTTTGAGAATTATTGATATTTTTATATTGAATCTTTTTAAAAATGTTTGTTTTGTTCTAAGAGCATTCATTGATCCCAAAAATGGAAATTGATTAAATTTAAAGTGAATGAAGAGCAATGATTTTGTTTTAATTTATCCCGATTATTAGGAAACCTGTTGACAGTAGCATACATTTTCATAGGATGACATTAACATACATAACTATTATTATTTATTTCTATTGATAATTTTATTGTACTCAAAAGGTTATAATCCCACACTGTCACTTTTATGCTATATGAGTTTTAGTTTCCACGAAAGAAAATTGCACTTTTATATAACAAACAAATTGCCGTTTAAAAAAAACAAAAAAGGCACTGCCACGCGAAAAAATCGAGGCCATTTTTTCTTGGGAAAGAGCTTTTGACCCTAAATTGCTGTAAAGAAAAAAACTTTAAAACAAAACACTTTAAACAGCAACGGAATCATATGATTGGCGTTTGAACAGTTGCCAATAGAAACTTGTTTTTTACGACAAATGTTAAACTTTATGTGTAAAGGAACAAATCGCTAGTCCGAAAAATGATTTTGGCACGGTCAAATTCCATTGACTGGAACTTTCTGGTTTATATTGCTATGAAGAATTTCGAAATTAATGGAATCTCTAATAGTCAATGGAATTAGAAAAAGTGTTTTTAACGGTTGAGGCCATATTCCTTGGGCAAGGAACGGGATCAGCCATAGTAATATACAAAGCATTGCATAAACAATGCTTTATGGAAAAGTAGTAAGGGAATCCTATCCTTTCTGGTAAGAATACAGAACAAAATAGAATATATTGAAGAATATTATACTGTTTCATCTTGCATCAAAACTTGTTGAATGAGTAGAAGGAAATGAACTGCGCTGAATATACAGAACGAGCAAAATGAGACTATTCATCTGACAATAGATTATTATTACCTTGTTCTATTCCAGTTAAATCCAAGATACTTGGCAAGTTAAAGATATCTGTCGCTCCACATCCTCCTACGCATCTCAGTCGCTATCATTGATAAACACATTTTGACTTTTGTTGCATCTTTGTATGCATTTGTTTATATATTACGAGACTCGTATAAAGAAAGGTCTGATAATAAGAAAAAAAATCTAACCGCTAACCGATGATAATACACAGTTATCCATTCACAAACAACAGATCTCTTGTTATCTCAGTGGTAGTAATAATGTTGTTTATGCATATTGTCAACATTTACATGTATTTATAGCATTGTAATAACAGAAACACATGGTTATTTATAGTATTTTGACGTAACAGTGATAATGAATAAAATATTATTGACGACAATTTATTTATAAATTGTTACATGCGTTTTTATTTAATTTCAATCAATCAAAACATTGAAACTTTTTTTGTTGTCCTATCTTTTTTCTGTCAAATAGCAACATTTGACTTTATAGAGACAAATGGAATCCCTTAAAATTGGCATGCTATTTCTAGAGTGATTTGCTGCTAAGTTTAAATACTGCTTTATCCAGAGAAAGTCGTTGTTAGCGATGTAACATTTACCACTGTCTTCATAAAAACGCAATAACAAAGATTCTGCAAGATGATGAAATTTGGTTTTGTTTCCACCGCTTTCGGTGGATCTCTCCTATTTATATTTA